TTTTTTTTTTTTTTTTTTTTTTTTTTTTTTTTTGTAGAGAGTACTGTGGTGCTTTTGACGGTTATAGCTTTGGACAGTCTAGTTAATCAGAGAATAATGGGAGTCTAGTTCATTATAATGTTAGCATAATTTTACCCTTTCGCAAGCACATTGTTTTTTCTTCTTTTTGTGAGTTTTTTATCTAAACTACAAAAGCTTGATATCTTTGGGCGTTATAACTCTGCGAGATGCGTGTGACTGAAAATTTTTTGTTAGGCGAGCGGAACAGTGGCGTTTTCGATTGGAGGAAGTTCCTCGAAGGCTAACGAGGATGACGCTTCTTCTGTAGATTCTGTAGCATTTCGGGGGCTTACTGACTCATTAGTGTCTCATGGCAGTGATGACTTGTTGCAAAGGATAGAAGATGATCATTCTAAAGAAGCAGGTTGTTCTGGCGAAAATGTGGATTCGGAGGAAGCCTACGATAAATTGCCTGAAGCGCAGCGTTCTTTAGTGAACGCATGCGATGCTGGTCATACCTTATCAAAAGCTAACAAGAATGGAATGCTTTTGCAGGTAGGAAACTTCTTATCTAAAATACTTTTTACCATACTTGAATCTATAAAAATTTGGTTGAAAGAACGTTTCTTTTTTTTTCTTGCTACTCGAAAGGTGTGTTTTTAGGAAAGTTGGTTTTCCGGTCAAACTTGCTTGTGGAGGCTGTTTGAATCAAACGTTTTTAATGTTGTCATTGCAATGCAGTATCTGTATCGTTCGCGGGATCCTGGGATTCTTAAGTATTTAGGTGGTTCTAGAATATTTTTCTTTAGAACTGAATGTAGATGATTGAGTGGCATTTGTTATCTGCCGCTTTTATTCACTTATATAATTCTGGTTTTTTGCAGTAAGCAGTTCAAGCACGTTTTCGGCAGTCTTTTAAACATAATGCATGGATAACACCATGTTCAATCACCAGTTTTAAATTTTTTTGCGTAAAATTTTGTTTTGAATTGTAGTTTGCGCTTGTTGTAGGTACTCGTTTATTTGATTTTCCTGAACAAGCCGTGGATTTCTATTTGCCACAGTTAGTAAATTTGTACATAAACGCTTCAGAAGTTGCGGGAGCTATACACCCTTACATTGTTAAAAGGTTAATATAGGCTGGATGAATCCCTGCTGCAGTGAAAGTTTTGCGTTAATCTCTTGATTCCTGTTCAGATGCAGTGGTAGTGTTGAATTTTCATTGGAATGTTGCTGGTTATTGGATGCGTATGCTTCCGATCCCAGTGGCGCAGTGAAACCGACAAATCAAGGCTACTATTTACGTAAACATATAATGAGTGAATTCGAGCGTGCAGTTGGGAAAGGAAATTCAAACAATTCTATGCTGAGTCAGGCAAACGGTCATGGACAGCTGCAACATGCTCGCTCGAGATCAGAAGCAAGTACGGTGCATATTAGCTTTTATTTAGATGTTTGGTATCAGTTCTGCTGGATATGTGATTTTTTGCCAAAACATTCCGTTGTTCTTCCGTCAACAGTTTTGCTGGCATTTATTTTAGCTATGTACGAAACAGTTCAGTCTGGGAACAACAGTGCAGCTATTAGGCGCAGTGAAAGCGTTTTGAACACAAGCTATAATGAAGAAGCTGGGGATCTGACAAGCGGTGTGTTTTTGGAACTGTTTGAGGTCAAAAAACACTGGTGTCGTGAATACTATTTAGGGTTTTCAAAAAAAGGAGATAGTGTTTTTATTGCCTACGGGGTTGTTATAATATAGCATTATTATTCGAAAAGCTGAATTTTAGGTTGCGCTTTTGACAACGGGTGTACTTGCTTTGATGATTTTGAGACGGAAGAGCTTTTACAGTCGGAAGAAAAGTTGGGCGATAGACAGTGTACTTGTGGTGTAAGATTTGTTATTTGTTGTTCCATTTAGTCCAGAAATTTATTTTTTTGTTTAATTTTTTCTACGAATCTCTTACCTAATTTCTTATACAATATTAAATTGTTACCGTTTTAGGCTGAGAAAATACGTCCTCAGCAAACATTTGTTAAAGCTTTAATGGATATTGGTGAGCGCTTGAAATTGCTGGCTTCGAAAGAAGAGAAGTCGCTTCACCTGGTTAATGAATTAGTGTCGGTCAACTTGAATCTACCAGCTCGAGTGTGGCTTCCATTGTATTCCGATACAATTAAACATATAGTTCTTAGAATTCCTTACTTTGCTGGTTGCGTTTTGAACAGTAAAGATAAGGTGGTGATTCGGTTTTTTTAGCCTAATTTTTTTTGATTTCAGAAGAAAAAATATAGGATTTTCTATTTTTTAAAATTTTTTTATATTTAAAAAGAATTTTCATTTTCTGTTGTAGTAAGTAAGATGCGTGAGATTTTTCTTATAGCTTAACATTTTCATTATTATTCTTATTTGTCGAAAGGGTAAGGTATTGATTTCTATGCAGTTATTTTTTTTGTTTTTTTTAGTAGTAATTTCTTTTGTCTAGTCAATTTAGAAGGGTTGTCAGGGGTAATATATTCTTTTGTGCATTGGTTAGATATTTAGAGGTTTGTTTTTTTAGAAATGTTGATTTTTGGCTTTAGATTTAGCTATTTGAAGAGGTTGTATTTAATAGGTAAACTATTTTATTTTTGTCTTTTTTTTTCCAGGCTCCTTTTTGTTTGTACGTAGAAGTGTTGGAAGTGGAGGATGTCCGTTTTTCTGTTATTCCTCATCGGATCAGTCATATAGAATTTTTTCACCGCAGACAGCGAGAAAGTTCCTCTAATCTACAGACCAGATTAACTCCTCAAGAAACCGTTTTGATGGTACATTTTACGAGAATTTTCACGAATTGTGGTAGTAAAGCTGTGGTTTCCAAATATTCGTTGGCTGACCTTTTTGTTTTAGGATGATTTAGATGGGGATTTGGCGTCGCAGATCACTCCAAAAAGTTCTTTATGTGAACATACTGGAGAAATGCGCAAGAGACTCAAGGAA